CGACCAACTATAGACCTACGAGAGAGAGAGAGAGAGAGAGAGGTCTCCTTCATCTGGATGAAAACTCCTTCTTTTAATTATCGCACAGGCAGGGGATAATAGGCGAGACGATAAATTTCTATATCATAACCACGTTGATATTATCCCATATTGGTTTCGTAATAACCACGACTCTGCCCTCGATAAGCTCCTTTAATCTCCCGTTGTTGTTTAGAAAGATCGTAAATAATGCTCTCCCCCCTTGCTTGTTTCACCTAATTCCTAAACGTCCATGGCTTTTTTTTTTTTCATTCCTCTTCTTATGATGTGCGCGTACAACACGACCTTAAACGGATACACGGTCGCGTTTTGATCGCGTTTAATTCTAATGGACCCGAGAGATCGTTCCAACGATCGTTTCATATCCATTTAAACTGCACTTTCCAATTGAACTTTTAAACCCACACCCACCGCGCACAGCCTGTTTAGACACGCATCAGGGTTTGCGCAGTTGGTTTATTGGATTACTGGCGAGCCGAGCACGCGCAACGAGGAGCGCATCGTTACCGCGAAACCATTTTACGAATTAAAGCGATGCCGTGGACCGCTTGTCGGAGGTTAGGTTACAACGAGGGTAATTCTTTTTATTCTCTCGTTTTATTCCTACGCACGTTTTGCTCCGTTGATTGGAATGATTCAATCGAAGCCTGTACTTCGATGAAGTTTGATCGATGTTTTACGAGCGATTCGTGGTATTGCGGGGTTGTTTTACATTTAAAAATTGGCCGGGAAAGAGAGTTGAGCTCGTTACTTCCTTTATGAAATTACGATTTGACGAAGGGGATATCTCATGGTTGGAAAGATATCAAAGAGGGAAAACGAAACATTCTACTTTTGAATTAAATTTAAACGAACGAATTTATTATCCAATTTATCATCTAGGAAATAACTTAAAATTTAAACTCAATCCTATATTCTTATCTATTAATTAGACATTAAAAAGGAAGAGCAAGAAAGACTCTCGATGATCGATTTTTATCGTTCCAATTAATTACATATGATCGTTGATCAGGTGAGAATTACACGATAGGCGAGAATGTTTCGGATCATCAGATATTTCAAACGTATCGTGAATCGTCGTGAGATATTTTTACCTGCCTCTTTTTCAACTATACAGATACAAATTTGCACGGAACATCGTCGAATTATCCAAAAAATTCTTTCTCGTACAAAAAAAGAAAAAATTCCACAATTTCGCGCACGAAAAGAAAATCAGAAAATCTGGTGGATGCAGGAGCGGTAGAAAAGAGATTAGAAGAAAAAAAAGAACGGGGAAGCAACAAAGGCAAAGTGAATTTCGCGCGATTCCGGCGATAAGGCGTTCAAACGAGGTCGCGGCGACGCTATCAGAAGACGGAAACGCGATTTTTGCGGGAGCGAGCGAGGCGTGCAAACGGAGCGGAGCGCCGGTAACACGGTGTCGCGGCACGCGTTCGGCATGCACGCAACGCCGCGTAAAAGAAAGAATGGGAAGAGAACGCGGTGTGCCACCTCGGAACAAGGCGGCCATTCACATCGAGCCGGCCGTAATTAACGTCAGCTGCTATAGCCGAGCCTCTGAGTACTTCCACTTACGCGCCTCGGCGCCGCGGCTCGCTTCGCGTCGGCGTATTTACACGCCTGTAAACACGACCCCCTTTTCTTTTTTGCGCGTGGCTGCCCGTTTCGCGGTTTTATCCGATCGTGACGACAGCTTCGATCGATGAGATCATCTCGTGTAAAAGGAAGAAAAAGAAAAAAAAAAAGAACGGGAGGAGGAGCTGAAAGAGGTTCCCAGTCCCAGGTTATATCTCGGCTGGAAAAAACGATTCGTCGATCGTCGTGCGCCTATTTTTTCTCTCTCTTCTTGTGATCGCATCCGATCGACTTTTAGATTAGACGCGGTGCACACAATTATAATCGAAATAACTCGGATCTTGCCATCTGAACCAGCCACGTTGTTTATCCTTCGCTGTATAAAAAGAAAGAAGAAAGTGAGTTCTAAAATATATTTTTCGCCTCGTGAATGTAAGAAAAGGCGAATCGATCGGGGAAAAGAATCGCATCTTAAGAAAGATAGGAGCGAGGAAAGAGCCTTTCACCACCAATCATAATCAAGCGACATAAGCTCGTTTAATTTTCCAGGCCGAACGTGTGCAGGTCAAGATACAAGAATTACTGTTGCCCCGGCTGGACGAAGAAGCCCGAGACCGGTCTCTGCGTAATTCGTAAGTATACATTGAGCGAGAAGACTGGAGAATCCGAGGCTCGATCATAATCGTGCCCACCCGTAATTGGACGTGATCTCACGAGCCTCGGATGCATTCAATTTTAGCGTTCATTATCGAAACGGTTCGAGAGGAGAAGCGGGCGTTCGCGACGAATAATTGCGTTGCGCAACTCACACAAATGGGTGGTGCGACACGACCGATCGAAAATTACTTTAATGGCCCGTTACACGCTTCCTGTTGATCGTATCGTCTTCACGATGGCTCGTGACACGGTTGAGACGCGGCGAAATTCTTTTATAAATAATAATCGGATCGGGGAAGATGTTGTAAAATATCTCTTGCTCGATGGGAGCGTGAATTCGTGGGAGTATAAGAAAGAGAATATAGAAATTTACGATAGAAATGTAGAATAAGGGAAGAGGTTGTAAAACATCTCTTGCTCGACTCGAAGCGAGCGTGGGATACAAGAATGTAGAAATTTATCGATGGAAATGTAGTAAGGGAGGATAAAGGGGATGTGGAATACGTACAGAAATATGCGAATCTCTTTTAGCTATATGCGTGAGAAGATGCGGCCCGCTGGGCAGATGCATAAGGCCGAACATTTGCTTGTGCGAGGGTGGCACCGTGGCTTCGTCCTGCACCAGCGGTCAAACCAAAGGTGGGGCCAGTTGTCGATTCAATGTATCTCGACACCACCGTTTTGTGAAAATTACCTTCTAAAGCAATATACTTCTCGTTGTAGCTACGCCCACGTATGAAACTGGTAGTAACGCGTTGGACAGGGGCGAGTCTGGTAGATGCAGGGTGCACTGCATAAATGGCAACTGCGTTGATGGCAAGTGTCAGTGTCGGAGCGGATATCAGGGCGAATTTTGCAACGAGCGTGAGTGGTCGAAACTTATATTCTAGCTAATTCCTCCTCCTAGTTTCAATATAATTCCACGTATCGTCTGTTGTTTAACACAGCAATCTGTCGAGAACCGTGCTTGAACCAAGGGAGATGTATCGGTCCGGATCGTTGCGCTTGTATCTACGGATACACTGGAAGACGATGCGAAACAGATTACAGGTATGCAATTTCCGTAAATATTTCTCTTTTTCTTTCACGCACAGTTGTCGTTTATACGTTTATTAATTGTCGACCAATCATTGAAATTAGGCGGTTGTTTCTTTTCTCAGAACCGGGCCGTGTTACACGAAAGTGAAGAACGGCCAGTGCTTGGCGAATCTTCAGGGTGTCGTGTGCACGCGGCAGTTGTGCTGCGCCACCGTGGGCAAGGGCTGGGGCCATCCCTGCGAAAGGTGTCCCGCGAGGCTCGACTGCGAGCTGGGCCACTTGAAAACTAACCAAGGCCAGTGCGTTGGTAAGCGACAATATTATCCAGGAAGAATCGGTCGAAAATTGTAAAAATTTTCTACTCGATATTAATTTGATCAGACATCAACGAGTGCGAAGCGATACCGGGTTTATGCGAGGGTGGAAAATGCGTCAACACTCCGGGCTCCTTCACTTGCGAGTGTCCCGACGGCCAGGCCAGAGATCCCGAGACAAACTCTTGCAAGGACAAAGACGAGTGCCAGGAGGAAGGAATTTGCACGGACGGCCGATGCATCAACACGAACGGTGGTTACTATTGCCTTTGCAATCCAGGATTTATCCAGAGCCAAGATCGAAGATTCTGTATAGGTAAGCAAATAGCGAGTAGATATCGCTTGGAAAAAAAAAAAAAAAAGGGAACGCGCGCAATTACTCGAGAAATTACTTAAATTTAGATGGAAGGCAGGGCCTCTGTTACACGTCCGTGAACAGAAACGGCCAGTGCAAAAATCGTTTGGCAATGAGGCTGAGCAAGAAAGATTGCTGCTGCGGGAAGAACATGGGACGCGGATGGGGTGACGAGTGTTACATCTGCCCGAATCCCGGAAGTGGTATGTAGAACGGCAAAAAATGCGAGAAAACGATTACGAAACTACCATGCTTGAGTGAGAAACGTAATAAAACGCTTAAATGTGGAACGAAAACTAAAGTTCACCCAGAAAACTGGAGATAATGGTAATAGGAAACGGGGAGTAACGGGATCCGTGTTATTACTCAATTATAGACGATTACAACAGGCTTTGCTTGCAACAACTGCAACCGATCACCGAGATAAACGAGTGCGCGTTGAGGCCGGACATATGCGGAAACGGGAAGTGCATAGACACCAAGGACGGATACGAGTGCGACTGTTACAACGGATTCACCAAGAAGGGAAACAGATGCGAGGATATCGACGAGTGCCTGTTGGGATATTGCCAGGGCGGTACTTGTCGAAATTACGAGGGAAGCTTCTCGTGTCAGTGCCCCCCGGGATTCGTCGTGTCTGGTGAAGGCAGATATTGCACGGGTAAGTGTAATTTCGTAGAAGAAGAAAAAAAAAAAAAAAAGAAAAATTTCGATTTTCGAAAACTATTTCGACTATTTTTTTTTTTTCAAATTTTTTTTATACATATATACAGATCACGATGAATGCCAGGACACGGGAATGTGCAACAACGGGCACTGCATCAACATGAACGGCTCGTTCAAGTGCAAGTGCAACGATGGCTACGTTTTGTCTCCCACAAAGAATACCTGCATAGGTAAGAGCGGATTCTTTTTCTCCTGCGTTAATTAAAAAATTAATTTTTGACGTATCGTCGATGGATAGATATCAACGAATGCGCCGAGAATCCGAGAATCTGTTTGAACGGCCGATGCGAGAACACACCGGGCTCGTACCACTGCATTTGCCAGCCTGGATTCACTCCCTCGAGAGACAACACGTTTTGCGTGGACATGGACGAGTGTTCCACGAGCGGGATGTGCGAGAACGGAAAGTGCGTGAACATGGAGGGCTCCTTCAAATGCGTCTGCGACTCCGGCTTCCGGATTGGACCCGACCAGAGCCACTGCATAGGTGTGTGTCGTTTCTTTCATTTCTTTATTTATCGTTTTCACCATGTTTGGTATTAGAAAAGCAAACGTTTGTTGATCGTTAGACATAGACGAGTGTCTGAGCGCACCGTGCCAAAATGGCCGGTGCATCAACACCCCTGGTAGCTTTCGATGCGAGTGCAATCCTGGATTTAATTTGGGACCGGATGGACGATCTTGCCTAGGTGCGTATCCAAACTATCCATATACTTCCCCCTTTTATTAAATTTTCGACGAGTAAATCGAACGAGTGGAAACGATTCGAATCGTCATCAGAGACAAGGAGGGATCTGTGTTACTCCCAGTACAGAGACGGCCAATGCTCGAATCCCACGTCGACGGCAGTGACAAAGTCGAGCTGTTGCTGTTGCACGGTAATACTGGGACAGCCCATGGGCTGGGGTACCCCCTGTCAACCCTGTCCACTTCCAAACACCAACGAGTTCGACGCTTTGTGCCCGCACGGTGCTGGAATGACTTACAGCGGAGATGGTAAAAATTGATAAAAAGAAAAAAAGTCAATTCCTCAAAGTCGATAAATTCTCTGTTTTGTAATGTTCTAATTTTTCTTTGAAACGAAGATATCAACGAGTGTGCGCAGAATCCAAACATTTGCGTGAACGGTGGCTGCGAGAATCTCATGGGCACCTATCGTTGCATCTGCGACAGCGGGTACGAGGTTGACGCAACAGGGAAGATATGCAGCGACATAAACGAGTGCGAATTGGAGCAGTCGTTGTGCAGCGGTGGCCAGTGTCGAAACACCCCTGGCAGCTTCCAGGCAAGTAAACCACCTCGCGTGTCGAATCGACACGTCTTCCTAGATTAGATCTAAGCCCCTAAACTTGGAGGATGCACAATTGGCCGTGACCAATCGAGACGTTTAAACGTTCGTGCAGTGTATTTGCCCGAGCGGGATGCGATTCAACACGCAGAACCACATGTGCGAGGATATCGACGAGTGCGAGGAGCTTGGACCGGATGTGTGCTTGAACGGAATCTGTATAGATACTCTGGGATCCTACGAGTGCGAGTGTTCACCCGGATACATCCTCGACCACACAGGCCACATTTGCATGGGTATGAACAATCAAACGACGAGTTACACAATCTCGAAAAGATGCTGTTTGGAGATCGAACAGCTACGTTCTTTCCTTTTTTTCGTAATATTTTTTCGTAAATTTTCATCGACAAATTTCTTCCAGACAACAGGAGAGGCTCCTGCTGGACCAAGATGATAGACGGTCGATGCGAGTACAATCTGCCAAGATTGGCGTTAAAGTCGGAATGCTGCTGCTCGGTGGGTGTCGCCTGGGGAAGCCCCTGCGAGCTCTGCGACCACTCCATCTGCGAGTGCACCAAAGGTTACGCGAAATTCGGCGGAAAAGATTGCGTGGACGTGAACGAGTGCGAGTTGAACAGCGACATATGCAAAGGTGGCGGCACGTGCGTCAACACCGATGGATCCTATCGCTGCGAGTGTCCCCCCGGATTGACTTTAGACGCCACGCGTGAGTGAACCATCAAAAGAGTCAAGGATCTTAATTTTCTTTCAACTATTAATCTTCTTGCACAGATATCACGTGCATAGACACGAGGCAGGAGACTTGTTACCTGGATTATAGACACGGCCAGTGCACGAATCCAATCGAGGGCCAATTTTCCAAGAGTCTGTGCTGTTGTTCCGTGGGCCGTGCGTGGGGCAGCGAGAGATGCGAAGCGTGTCCGAAGCCGGGGACCCACGCGCACAAGGAACTGTGTCCAAGGGGGGGCGGTTTCACGGATAAGCAAGACGTGAACGAGTGCATCGAGTTTCCAGGGATGTGCTTGAACGGAAGATGCAAGAACACCGTTGGAAGTTTCAGCTGCAAGTGCAACCAGGGCTTCGCGTTGGACGAACATGGGATTAAATGTAACGGTGAGCCCATTTTTCTCCGTTTCAAATTCTCCAGTATCGAATCGAATCTTCGGTTCGAATCGTATTTTTTATTCGTTGTTCGATCGAATCGACAAGTCGATGGTTAAATTTGAATTTTTCGCGGTGGACAATGTCTGAACTTGGTTCTTCTTTGCACAGACATCGACGAATGCGAGATCATGCGCGGAGTGTGCGGGAACGGAACCTGCAGAAACACACCTGGCAATTTCCAGTGTGATTGCAATCCTGGATATCTCGGCCACGATATAATGAAAATTTGCATGGGTACGTTTTAACCATTCCTGATTCGTCGTTACGAACATGTCGAAGAAGAAAGAAAGAAGAAATCGTCATCCACTTTAAATTTCAGACATAAACGAATGCGAGGAGACACCAGGATTGTGCCGAGGGGGTAGTTGCATCAACACGGAGGGCAGCTTCAAGTGTCAATGCCCACCCGGCCACGAGCTAGGCCCTGACAAGCAGTCGTGCAAGGACATAGACGAGTGTTCGAGAACAAGCGGAATTTGCTCGAACGGTGTCTGTGAGAACATGATGGGCACTTATCAATGCATATGCGACGATGGTTATCAACAAACTGGACTAAAGTCCCACTGCGAGGATATAAACGAATGCGCGACCAATAACGGTGGCTGCGAGGACGTTTGTCTCAATACGCCTGGCAGCTTCTCCTGTTCTTGCAGGTATACGTCAAACATCTTGTGGATGGTCATAAGATCGATGAAACTTTGATAGCCGAATTCTTCTCCTTGTTTTATCGAAACAGCATCGGGTTCGCGTTGAATCTCGACGGCAGATCGTGCGTGGACGTGGACGAATGCAAAGAGAATCCACGAATTTGCAATGGAGGGAAATGCACCAACATAGAAGGTGGCTACATATGCACCTGCACCGATGGATTGATACCCGGAAAGGACGGGGCGTCCTGCATAGGTAAAAGCGATCGAGATCTCGATAAAAATCTCTCGTTTAAAAATCCAAGAGGTTCGCTTGGAAAAAAAAAAACTTAGTTCCGCGAAAATTCCGGGAAATTATTCTGATTTGTCGCAGACATCGACGAGTGCAACGCGCAGCCCAATATATGCGGCTACGGCGAATGCTACAACACGATTGGGTCGTACAATTGTCGTTGCGAGGAAGGTTATTCGGTGAAACCGGACCAGGGACCGGGATGCACCGACGACGACGAGTGCCTTTTAAACGTCTACTCTTGCAGCGAATTCGCGGAGTGCCAGAACACCCAAGGCTCGTACGAGTGCACCTGCCACGAGGGTTTCGTAGGGAACGGCGTCGAGTGTAGAGACATCAACGAGTGCCTCACCAACAATGGAGGATGCGACTCTAACGCGCAGTGCATCAATACGGAGGGGTCTTTCAAGGTGAGAACTAGGCGAGCGAAATTAACGATAAAATTAAACTGAAATATTTCGATATCCTGTTGTAACACACTGTTCACAGTGCGACTGCGACGCCGGGTTCAGAGGGGATGGCTACACTTGCAAGGATATCGACGAATGCGCCAACGACAACACTCTTTGCGAAAATGGCCACTGCCTAAATTATCCCGGATCGTTTCGATGCGAGTGCGAGATGGGCTTCATGCACCCTGACGAGAATAACGAGCAGACATGCGTGGATATAAACGAGTGCGAGATGTTCAGCAATTTGTGCGTGTTCGGCCGATGCGAGAATATATTCGGCATGTTTCGTTGCGAGTGCCACGAGGGATACAAGTTGGACGGCTCGGGTGGAAATTGCACGGATATCGACGAATGCGAGAATCCTCAATCGTGCCAGTACGGCACGTGTGTGAATACTCAGGGGAAATACATATGCAAGTGTCCGCCTTATTACGAGTTGGTCGAAGCTGGAAACGCCTGCGTCGGTGCGTCATCCTTTCTTGTGATAAAATATTAAATTTCTTCGAGAGGCATCCCTTTCAAAAATTCAACTTCCTTTCAAACAGTTCGATTTTTAAAGATTCTAAATTTGCCACGAAAGTCTTTTCAAGTCTTTAAGAGGAAATTTTGAAATTTGAAACTTGATTGGAAGAATACAGGGTCATCCTTTTCAAAAATTTCAATTTTTAAAGTTTTTAAGAGGAAATTCTGAAACTTTGAAAATTGTTTCCATTACAGACAGACGAGAATCGTTCTGCTTCGTCGGTTTCGAACACGGTACCGGAAGGCCTCAGTGCATCTTTGACATGGCCTCTTCGGTGACGAAAGCGACGTGTTGCTGCAGCATTGGCAACGCTTGGGGAAATCGTTGCGAGGAGTGTCCCCAAGTTGGAACGAAAGAATTCCAGGAATTGTGTCCGGGTGGTTCCGGATACAGACCGAATCTGGAGACCGTCATCCTGGAGGATATCAACGAATGCGAGGAATACGAGAATATCTGTCAGAACGGGCATTGCACCAACACGTTCGGCAGTTTCATGTGCTCCTGCAACGAGGGCTTTATTCTGGACGACACCAAAAGCAGTTGCATAGGTAATCGAATCGAGTATTTTCCATTAGAATCGAAAAATATCCCGTCAATTATAATTGTACATATAATTTTTCACTCAGATGTGAACGAATGCGCTTTGCATCCACAAATATGTGGGGTGGGTCATTGCATCAACGATCAAGGGAAATATCACTGCGAGTGTCCAGAAGGGTACATGGCGATGCCAGGAGGAAGTGAGTGAAAGTTTATCAAGCGAGTTCGTTGCAATTATTCGTGTAAAAATTCAACTGTATTAACTTGTATATCAGAGGAATGTGTCGACATGAGGAAGGAATCGTGCTATCTGAATTACGAGTCGGGCGAATGTTTCAACCCGATGATGCATCCGCAAACGAAAATGTTGTGCTGTTGTTCCATGGGAGCCGCGTGGGGTAGCCCTTGTGAAAAGTGTCCAGCCGAGAGGACCCGTAAGTACGAGAAAATATTTTTCTCGAACGAGAGAAATCCAACTCTTAACACGATTCCCTTTAGGGGAGCACGAAATTCTTTGCGGCCAGGTACCTGGCCAGATAATGAATCCCATAACGAATCACACGGAGGAAATCGACGAGTGCGCTCTCATGCCGACAATGTGCACTCACGGCCGTTGCATGAACACTCCTGGAAGTTTCGAGTGTCAGTGCGATCGTGGATACGTGTACGATCAGGATTCTCATCAGTGCATCGACGAGAACGAGTGTCTACAGGTGATTAGAGAAAAGCCTAGACGAAAAAAAAAAAGAAATACTTTCGATAATTGTAACCCGTCGATCGTTATTATTCACCGGAGAGTTTGTTTGTTCAATTCTCGTTCCAGATTCCGAATCCGTGCAGTGGAAACGCACAGTGCATAAACAAGCAAGGTTACTTCGAATGCGTTTGCCCGGCCGGATACAAATTGGGGCTGAGTCAACGAGACTGCGTCGACATCGACGAGTGCTACGAGCGGCCAGGAATTTGCAACAATGGCGCCTGCAACAACCTGCAAGGCAGTTTCCAGTGCATCTGCCACGGTGGGTTCGCGCTCACACGGGACAGGGACAACTGCGTGGATATCGACGAGTGTCAAAGAAATCCGAATATCTGCAACAACGGCACCTGCGTGAACACGCTCGGCTCGTACAAGTGCATCTGCTATCAAGGATTCAAGCTTAGCCCCAATAACGATTGCGCGGGTAAACTTCTTTTCAATTCATTTTTTTTTTTTTTGGAAATTCGATAAACGTTGCGTTTGAAAAAATGAATTTTGCGAAACAGACATCGACGAGTGCAGGATTATGCCCTTCCTCTGTCGCAACGGCAGGTGTCGAAACACTATCGGAGCCTTCAACTGTGAATGCGCCGATGGCTACGTGCTGGCTCAAGATGGCCAGCACTGCAGAGACATCGACGAGTGTCACGAAGTAAGTAACAAGATATGTCTCGAAGATTTAAAAAATTAAAAAAATTTTAACGATCGTGTTTAGATTCCGGGCCTCTGCCCATCGCCAGGAAAGTGTCAGAACTTAATGGGATCTTACATATGCACTTGTCCACTTGGTTACGAGTTGGATCACACGAGAAAGAAGTGCGTGGGTGAGTAAAAAAAAAAAAAACCGTACGACGATAATAAACGACAAATTCGTACAATCAACGGATGGAAATTTGCGAATCAGACGTGGACGAGTGCGTGACGAGCGAAGAAATCTGCGAGAATGGACGGTGCATCAACACGGAGGGTGGGGTGATCTGCGAGTGCCCCGTCGGGTACAGATTGAGCGACAAGCCGAATTCGATGAGGTGCATCGACGTCAGGGAGGATCTGTGCTACGACCGATACGTGGGCCACCTGAGAGGACGATGCTCCTTTCCCAGAACGGGCGCGATGACGAAGAAACACTGTTGTTGCACCATGGGCAAGGCATGGGGCAAGTACTGCGAACAATGCCCTCCGGAGGATAGCGGTAATTAAAGATACTTTCATCCGCGACGAGAAAGGAAAAAATACTTTCGACCGTTCTTCCGTTACCCTTTCTCCTTCCAGAGGAATTCAAAAGATTGTGCCCCGAGGGAGCAGGCAGGGACGACACGGGGATCGACTTGAACGAGTGCCTCTTCATGCCGGACGCTTGCGCAGGTGGCGAGTGCATAAACACGGATGGCTCCTTCCGATGCGAGTGCCCCTCCGGCTACATGCTGGACGCGAGCGGCAGACGTTGCGTGGACAACAACGAGTGCCTGTCCCAGCAAAACATATGCGGGAACGGGACGTGCACCAACATCGAAGGGGGTTTCGAGTGTTCGTGCAACGAAGGATTCACCCCGGGCGTGAACCAAGTCTGCGAGGACGTGAACGAGTGTCTGGAGCTGGGCAACCAATGCGCCTTCCGATGCCATAACGCCCCTGGTTCCTTCAGATGCATCTGCCCCTACGGCTACACCTTGGCCCCGGACGCGAGACATTGCATAGGTCTCTTCTCTCCTTCCAGAATTATTATTTGGAAGACAAAGCTTTTCTGCAATTATTTTCAACCACGATCGATTATTATTGTTCCAGACGTGGACGAGTGTGCGACCCCGGCCAACAATTGCAAGTATCAATGCAAGAATCTTATCGGTTCCTTCATGTGCATCTGTCCACCTGGATACCAACAAATCGGCATGACCGACGAGTGCAAAGACGTCGACGAATGCGCGATTAATTCAGGTTTGTGCCGAAATGGTCAATGCGTGAACGTGGAGGGTAGTTATCAGTGCCTTTGCTACGACGGCTTCGAGCAGAGTCCGGATGGAAAATCTTGCATAGGTATGAATTAAGAAATAGATATTGAGATACTCGACGAAAACTAGGTTCATGGTATTGTACGTTTTTAGACCGTAGGATGGGTTACTGTTTCCTGCAAACGATCGGTGGCAGGTGCACCGCAAGAACCTCCGATCTGAAGACGGTGACGAAAGCGGATTGCTGCTGCACTATGGGCGCGGCTTGGGGACCCCAGTGTGAGATTTGCCCCACGAAAGACTCTGACAATTACAACGAGCTATGCTTGGACAAAGGTTTCTCCGTGGATGGTCAAGGTGCGTGAATATATATATATTTTTAAAATAACTCTTCATCGTAAAAATTCCTTTTCAGACATCGACGAATGCAGAACTATTCCTGACCTGTGCAAAAACGGATTGTGCATCAATACTCTGGGTTCTTATAGATGCGTCTGCAATAAAGGATATAAGGCGGATAAGTCTGGGACCCAATGCGTTGGCAAGTATCGAGCAACAAGCTTGTTGGAACGATATCGATCATAGTTGGAATCCGGATGAAACGTATCGAATTTCAGATATAAACGAGTGCGAGGTAACGCCAAAGCCGTGCAAGTTCAATTGTCAGAACACGGAAGGAAGTTTCATCTGTTCCTGTCCAGCCGGTTTCATTTTGAACCCCGATGGAGTCAGCTGCAGAGATCTGGACGAATGCGCGACAGGGAATCATCTGTGCCAACAGAATTGCATCAACACTCAAGGAAGCTACACTTGCGGTTGCCAAGAGGGTTACACGCAAGACGGAGACGCTTGTCACGGTTCGTCGCGACGCAATGTTGATTAATTATGTTCGTTCTTTAATTTCTCTGTTATTTGAATCTACGCTACTCGTTTCTAGACATAAACGAGTGCGACCAGCCTGGAACCTGTCCAAAACCGGGCACCTGCATCAATACGCTCGGCAGTTTCCGGTGTATCTGTCCCAGAGGGTTCAAGCTTGACCAGTCTGGAAGATTTTGCATCGATCAGAACGAGTGTGCCGATGATAGCACTTGCGAGCACGGTTGCCAGGTAATGAATCGAGCAAATTTTTTCTACTCGATCCTCCGTCTAAAATTCTCTCCTCTCCTCTTAATTCATAAATTCGTTAACGAATTTCAGAACTTTATGGGAAGCTATCGTTGCGGATGTCCAGAAGGATTCGTTCAACATCTTTATTACAACCAGTGCATCGATGAGAACGAGTGCAATACGTCCCCGTGTGGGGACAACACTTGCATCAACACCATTGGCAGTTACAAATGTGGCTGCCCGGATGGTTACCAGTTCGACGGTAATTTGCAAATTTGCGTTCAGGTAAGGGTTACCATTTCAACGAGATCAATCGATGATTGCTGCTTAAAAGATGTTTAAAAGAAAAAAAAAAAAGAAAAAAATAGTGAAAACGCACTTCACAGGTGAGCGCTGGATGCATCGGAAGCCCTTGCGCCTTTGGCTGCACCCCTAACGGGGCAAATGGTTTCATCTGTGGATGTCCTACCGGGTATCAACGAATTGGACAGGTTCGTCATCGATGTTCCATACACGAGGGGAGGGGAGAAAAGCAGTAATACTTCAATATTTCTTTTCTTTTTAATTTCCAACGATCAGGGTCACTGTTTATCCACGATTAATCCACTGTCGCAAGGACACTTTGGCGAAGACATCAGCAGTGCACCAACTTTCGTGATAAATCCGGATCCGTATCATATACCGCCTGCGGACGACAAGACAATATCGACGGAAGGCTGCTTTTCTTGCAAGGTGATCTTACTTAGATTAGTTCCTGAATCGGGTCATTCTGATGTCGTCAACAATTGGGATCAATAAAAAAAATTATTTTCCAAAGGTTAACGGGAAAGGAAGGCACAGAAGGTATTTGCGAACGAAATCAATGGATCGGGAATTGATCGCGCGGAGGCACGAAATCATGAAGAGACGGTTCGTCAGATCAGCAAAGAGGCACCATCATGGCGAAGAGTATATCCTCAAGATCAGCCTTCGACAGACCAGGCATCGAATGAGAATCATCAAATTACAACCGGCTGTCAAGGTTCGTTCGCATTTTTAATTTTCTTTTTTTTTTTTTTTTTTTTCGTCTCGATCAAAATGTTTCCTTCGTCTTTAATTCTAAGAATTAAACAGACAGATTATAATTTATCACAGGACGAGAACATGGAATACACGATAATCAAGGGGAACGACGACAATCATTTCGAGATCGTGAACGAGCACGGAATTTCAGCCCTCCACTTCCGCAATCGATTGAAGGAACCCGGCCAATTCCGGTTGATGATACACGGACGTCCGCGAAACGGTATAAGCGAGGAAAACGAGGTCTGGGAAAGGCCTCTCACCTTCAGAGTACACTTAATAGTGACCGAGTAATTCTTAGGGAAATCGACGTTGCTCGACGTTTCGGTTCTTTTTTTTAGTCAATTTCCACGAAGTGAACACCGAAACGAAAGGCGATTGGAAAGGCGAGAGATTGCCGGGCTGAGTATTATTATTATACTATATAGGCACGATTCCATTCTCACGAATTAGAAAAAACGCTTTGAAATTTATGTGTTCATTCACACAGCCTTGACTTACGTCGTCTCACTGCCAAATAATTATCCTTCTCACTATGTTGCTATGTAAAATAATAAATCTTTAACACTGCCTCTGCTTTACTCGTTTTACATTTTTATTCGTTTTTCTTCTCTCTCTCTCTCT